GAGTGCTAGTGACCGTTCGAAAACTCAGACTTGAGGCTCCCACCACACTCCGTCGCTTTTTCAAAACACCTTTCTGTAACGTTGTAGCATCCAGAGCAAAAATGATGTTTCACATTCGCCCTTTGCCTCCATTTTAATCACGCGTATAATTCGCTGGAAGCCGAAATGTATATAAATGTGTAGAGGAATTTCCGTAGTATCTTAGCCAATCGTTTTGTACGGAGTTACTTTCGAGGCAGAGGAAAAATTGCCAATTGAAGAAAGAAAATATGAATCGTCCCGCCTTGCCTCGCCCCTGCCATGCCCTAGCCTGTGAACAACATCACCAAAAATGTAAAACTCGACCCTATTTTCCGTGCTAAGCCGTATTTCCAGAAAATAAGCACATTAGTTGAATCACAAAATATTACTCTATTAGATGATTACTAATAGTCTAAAGAAAGAGTTCTGTCCGGCAGAGTTGAGTGTAAATTAAAGACCAGAGCAGATCATAAACACTAAAAGAGCTTCTAAAAAACCAAACATATTTTTGAGTTCTTTGAAGCTTGTGCTATAGTTTGTATCCTAGCGCTCTGAGGAAGGCGTTTTGTCCAGCGAAATATAAGCGAGATAAGAGAAAGTAATACGTGGTTTTATAAAATATGATTTTACTCTGAATGTTACAATGTTATAAAGGGGTGTTTTGAAGAATCGGCGATCTGGGGCTGTAGCCACAAATTTCAGCTTTTGAATGGTTACTAACATTCCTGTGAAAAGTTCTTTTCTAACGAATAAGATTGGTTTTTCATTTGTTTACTTATAATCAGAAAGAACTTCATATATGTATAGAAGGCGTAATTGCCGCAAGCCATGCAAACGGCAATCGACAATCAATCACTCTAAAAGAAGGCCGCGGTGATTGTTTCAACGTACATTGTGTGTAAATAGTTCGGTGTCGATCACTCTGCATTGGAGGTAGATCCGCGAGAAACTGATTGTACGAAATGGTACCGTGCAACTGATGAGGCTGGAGAGCCGAAACACGTGTCTTGCACTGCATAAGTGCCCGTAACAGGCTTCATGAAAGGTCTAAAATATACCGTCAGGATATATATTGTTATAGGTATATAGGTCTTCTTATTTGCTTAGAGGCTATTATTAGGATAGTGCAAAAGTAATGGCGGTTCATGAATTCTTGAAATTTGTCGTTTGATAATGGAATAAATTCTTGAATAAATATGTACGCGCGCATGTGTATATACACACACATGCGTATATCTACGCATATATGCTTGTATTATATACGCACATACATGTGGATATAGGCGCATGCATATACATACATTGTATATATATATATATATATATATATATATATATGCATATCTTTTTATTGTGCAATTCTCGCTCTATGCTTTGTTGCTAATAACGCTTTACTTACTGTTTACCTTATATTTAGACTATGGAAAGGATGTATGAAAATCGAGAAAACTTATTTGATTAGCTGACGCGAGGTTGGTAAAGTAATCGTAGTAGTAAATCGCCTGACTTTTCGGCGACGCGCCTTCTTCAGAGCCTGGGCGTATGTAGTATTAGTCTATTTGAATGATTTGGAGAATCTTATTTGTATGCTGCGTGGTCAAGTTAAAAGATCAAACGAAGAAAGGGCGCGAGGTCTTGTGATGGTGACGCAGTCGTCCTTCCGGTTCATTTCGGGATTTGGGGCGTTCATCCAAAATGCCTCAAGAGTCTTGCGCGTGGATGTTTTTGATTCCTGCGCTAGGATTGTGACAGTCACATCAAAATCGTTGTTGTTGTGTTTTTGTGCCCTATGTAAACCTAAAGGTTTCGTTTTACCTATTTTAGATTTGCTATCTAGCTGTTCTTTTATGCGGATGAAAAGTGGTTTACCAGTTTTGCATATAAATTCTTTCCCGCATGTTTTACATGTTTGTAAATAAATTGTGCCCGATCTCATGCAATCCCCCTCTTTTCTGTTAGGGCAGATCATTCAGTTTTTGGTGTTGCACAATCGATCATAAAGTCTATTGGGATCAGCTGATGGCGGAGGGTGGGAGGTGGAACTTCGATAACTACCACGGAATTTTCAAGACCGCATCTTTTTAGGCACCCACACAACCGCTCTACTAATTTCGTTTGATATAAATGGCAGTTTGAAGGGAACTTTGTTCAGGTGGGGAGTATTGTTCTTTCGGAACCTAATTCCACTTTTTGAATATTCCCGAGTGACAGATGTTTTGTAGCCGTTGGAAATGGCAATTTTTCGTGCCAAGTCTAATGATTCGTTCCTTTCCTCTTCTCCTGTGCACACATTTTTAGCCGTTCAAAACATGTTTTTAATTAGCGATTTTTTCATGCGTGAAGGATGAGAGGAAAGTTGAGGGACCAAAATGGTTTTGTTACTTGGTTTCGATACCATTTTGGACTATAGCCACTATTCAAAAGCTTTACTTGAATGTTTAAGAATGGAAGCCAGGAAACAGTCGTCTATATCGCGTAGTAGAGCAATGAGCGGTGAACAAGAACTGGAGCTTCCACCTTATACGCAAAAAAAAGCGATGGCAAGACTAAGTGACAAACGTTGACCCATGGCTAACCCCCTGAGTTGTGTGAAGTATTTACCTAATTACCGAAAGATTGAACAACTAAGACATTGTTTCAGGAGGATCACTAGTTGTTGAGTCGAGAAGCCATAATATTTACTTTTTGTTCATTTTCTGTTAAAAGTTCAAAAATGGCTTGCTTTGCAGAGTCATTTGATACGTTTGTATAGAGTGAGGTAACATCAAATGACTCCATTATGTGCGAGTTGTTTGGTTGCGCGCAACGTAGGTGATCTAGGAACATTGGAGTATTGGGTAGATGGGTTGGTATGAAGTTAAGCACCTGAGTAAAAATAAGGTTTAGAAACCACGGTTATTCTATCCGTTGGTCCGCATATGCAATTGATGATAGTCTAATCTTGTATGTTAATGGATCGGTTGACACTAGATCATCAGGTGATATTAGTTTATGTGTTTCTATGAGAAGGTATAAGACCGAACAAATTGGATTACTTTTCTTGAGCCGAGATATGACTGAAGTTTCTAAACCCGCTGCGCTTGCCATGTTGACCCATTCTTTGTCTAAATATTACTTAGGCATCATATAAATAAGATCCTCCGAATCATTCAAATGGACGGATACTACATACGCCCAGGCTCTTAAGAAGGCGGGTCACCGAAACTTCAGCCGAAGTACTACTACGATTACTTACCAACCTCGCGTCAGCTAATCAAGATAAGTTTTCTAGAATTCTATGCATCAATTAATTATGCCGAGGTTTATAGAAAGTCGTAATTTTGAGTTGTTGCGATATGGAAAGGATGTTGGTTGTTGCAAAAGCAATGGTGGTCTGACACCGTGAATCAAAATGGGCTGTAGAACAGCAATAACAATTCGCTGAATCACCAGTGAATCTCCCCAGAAACTGGTAACGAACATGCAGAGCAGCGGTGGTTCAAGAACTTTCGTAAACGAGACGAGAGCCTCGAAGATGAGAAACGGCGCAGTGTCCGGCCATGGGAAGTTGACAATGATCAACTGAAAGCAATAATCGAATCTAATCCTCTTGAGTGTACGCGAGATGTTGCAAAAACTCAGCGCCGACCATTCTACGGTCTTTCACTATTTGAAGCAAATTGAGAAGGTGAAGAAGGCTGATGCAAATGTAGTGACATTTGATCACACTCAGCCGACAGCCACGCATAATACGAGCATTTCAAAAATTGAACGAATTTGGATACGAATGTTGCCTCATCCTCAATAATCGCCTAACGTCGCTTCCACAGACTAGCACTTATCTCAACAACTTCTTGCACGGAAAACGCTTCCGCAATCAACAGGACGGAGAGGACGTCTTCCAGAGTTCCTCGAATCCCCAGACACCAGTTTTTGAGCTACAAGAATAAGGAGACCTATTTCTCGTTGAGAAGATGGTGTTGGTTGTAGTGGTTTCTGTTTTGACTGATAAAGATGAGTTTGAACCTAGTTATAATCATTCAAAAAATCACAGTGTGAAACCACCATTTTTTTGCATCAGCTTAAAATCATTCCTTTATGTTGTTTTTATAAGCATTCCTACTTCTACAAAGTTTTCGATTCAAATTTTGAACAGTCTATATGGTAGTTGACCACCCATGTAAGACGTACTTGGTGACCGAAGGGAAGCAGTTACCCCACACGTCACGCGGCGATCAACTAGATCAAAAGATGAAGGGTAGAGCTCTCGGCTTTGATCAGTCTCTGTGGTAGGATACGCCATGCATTCCAGTCCATTCGTAGTATCGTCAGAAGTGATTGAATGCATATTAGTCTTTACAACTACACACCGTGGCTACACACATATATCAGACCACTCTGCTAATCTCTCAGACAAGTCTGGTACCAAATCACCGACCTCAGAGGGATGGGAGTTCTAGTGAGCCGTGGGGTCGGGTCATCGGCCACATGTTTGTTACATGTACACCTCTAACCACTTCACCTTATGGGCAATGCTGGAAGACTCCTTTGTGACTAAAACAACCCGATTATTGGATAGAGGGGGCGGTGACCGAGTGGCTAGCGATGCTCGACGCAGGATTGATCCCCCACTACCGCTCTCCAACAATCGAAAGCGAACACTCCACCCTGGCTATTCTCGAGATTGCAAGGAGATCCGCTAGACCAGTATTCTACGACGTTCCTGAGAAGATGAAATCCTCAAGCAAATGATGAATATGAGGAGATGAATCTAATGCTAGAAGTACTGAAGCTTGTACAGTAGAAAAACTCTAATGCAGGTCAAATGAAGTGATAAAATGAGAATCAGTTTGGTTATCTACTTACCTATGAGTAAACACTCGTAAATCTCTGTGTTCCTTATCAAATCTTATCCTAGAATACTGTTCATTTATCGCTTTAGCGGTGGTATGACGTTACAAATACATATCAAATAATGTTGAGTGATGTACAAAACTTTGAACGTCAGACGATAATCGAACTCGCATTTCACGCTTTCTAGGGGCGCGTGCTAACCATATGCACTACCGACATTGTTGATTCGCCATCACCTTTCTACATTTTTTTTTTTTGAACTTCCCTCTCTGGCACACCCGTCATTAAGGCTCGTTAAGCCTTCCATCCTTCCGTGATTGATGAATTGCTACCACAGTTGTGTGAGAGGATAGCAGCAATGACTTGATGGATCGGTACACCACCGTGATTTATTGTAAAGGCCCACATATGCATTCAGTCCATTCAAATGATCCTCGATAAAGTCAAATGCATAGTGCATCCTTGAGGAATTGATTAACGTCAAGAGCTCTGTCCTTTTTATCCTTTCTATTCGCGTAACCACATTCAGTCATGTACACGAGGGTGTGTTAGCGCGTATCGGGATGGGATCCTGAAGTCTCGAATATCTGTAATTGTATCATCTTTGCGAGCCTCGATATGACCACATGTTTTATCCTTGAAATGTCCTTTCGCTACTTCGAGAGAGACTGGCAAGCCACTCGTGGTCACCCATCCCCCACGTTTAGAGCCTAGCAAGCTACACGTTGGGTATCAAAATGCTAAAAATAGCAATAAATATAGGTCATGGCATTAGTTGTAGAAAACGAAATGAAATAGAAAATTGTTATAGATTCCGATTGAGTGGGACCCATACTAATGTGGAGACGCATTTTCGTATGTTTCAACTTATTTTCAAAAACGCATGATTTCTAGTGGCGTGAAATTATTTTTCATGGAACAGTTTGTGGTACAGCATCTGAATTTCATAGGCTGTCATTTGTTTACAAGGACTTTTAGGAAGCCTTCTATGAGTCAAGAGAAAACACCAAAAAGAAAATGACCTCTTTAAAGGTCTTCAATGTTGTTTCACTACAAATTAATCCTGCAGAGGTCACGTTGTTGCTAATTTTGCTAAATTTGAAGACCACCATACGGTGTGTACAAACTTTCTGCTGGTCAACCTAAAACTTCTTCGTGTGATTTGATTCAAAGAAATTTGAAAAATAAAGATTTATATAAGAAAGGTATCAGTTGCGTTCTGCTATTAAACTGTTATTTTCTCATTTTTTCATTTCATCATCATTTCATTCATTCATCATTTCATTCATTCATTTCGATCAGCCATTTTCTGCAGTGACTACTAAATTACGTTTTCACTAAACGACATTTAAATCACATATACACTTTTTATAAGCTTTGGTCTTCTTTTTAGATCTTACTACCCATTGAACAGATTGTATATTTTGTTAAAAAGCAAAGTAATCAATGATCATCACTGAACCATTAATATAATATGTAAGTCATCAAATATACGGGGTTGATTGATTTTTGTTACAAACGTTGCGTGGCCAAATGGGCTTTTTCTGCCATTTTCACTATTTTGTCTCAACATTCATCTTCAATTACCAGTAAGAGAGTGTGTGTTTGAACGTGTAAAAAAACGGCGATAAATTTTGACGTTATTCTGAGAATTGAATTCGAGTTTCGGTGTGATTTGTTGTAGATCAAGTATTTATTGCGATTACAATCAAAACAACCATATCATGGAACGCACAATGGTGAGCTGAAGGCCTAATGACGGTAAAGATTATGAGAGGTGAGTGATCAGAATACTGAGTTACACACAAATTCAAGAGCAACATGCATCTCCCATATGTGTAGCGAGAAGTCATCGTTTCGTTTATCTTTAAGCCACAAGGAAATTTTGCCATGTGGCGCGTTTTAAGAGAAGGCACCATGGCCGACGACTGAAAGAATCATGGCAGCTGTCACCAGTCGCTCACAGTGGGAATGTTCGCATCTGAAATATAGATTCTACTACATCATGTTTTACTCATACAAACAGGAAGTACGTATGATTCTGGGCTACTGGTCGTGTCAACGTGTAGTTCACATACTTGGGGATTTTGGTGACTATACAATTTTGAGGAAATTTTTCATGATAATAGTAAAAGCAAAGCAATTATGAGGGATAGTTTTGACCTCTCTCTTTCTCCATCAACTTTTACTTTTATCCTCGTCCAAATATTAAAGTGATGAGTCAGGTTTGTGTCAACAACGTATGGAAGCTTATTGACGGCGAAAATCAAAACATAGTCTAAAAGTAGTAACGTGCGGCGAAGTGACAGTCATATCTTCACAATATCATGAAGTACTTGATATAGTCTCTTAGAATGTTTTGAGCCTTACTGAGGTTATGACGTGAGAGCCATACGTACGTTTCGGCGGTGTCGCCCGCTTCATCAGTGGCCCGCGCCGCACACTGAACCCTAACTTATAACGGGGATGAAAAGACTTTTTTATGGTCGTAGTACATAATAATAGATTATCACGGTTCTTTTCCGTTCGGTAGCACAGATTTTCAAGCCTATCCCCTATGCTGGGTAAGAAGTGTTCATGAAGAGTGTTAGAAATGATTCGAAATCCAAATCTCAAACTAGTGCTGGACGTGTCCGATTTTTGAAAAGACCCTTTTATAGTTCTGAGAAATTCAAAATAAAATTTCGTTTGACGTCGGCTGGACGCTTTCACCATTAGTTTGCTGTAAGCAGAAAAAGCGCATGAACATATAGTCGAAATTTTGTATTATCAGGGTTATATGTATTACTTGGAATTTCTTCCAAAGCTAAGAAAGAATCCCAAATTAAATAGCAAAAATTGTACTCCACACGTGAGTCACGCCAATGCTGTCGATCGATCGCCGTATGGAATCAGCGGCCAGCACACACACTAGTCGACAAACAATGCGCCGCATATGTAAAACTGAATCTTGCTTTCCCTGCTATACTGCAATCAAAGGGTTTATCCAGAAAATAAGCACAGCGTTAGGATTGTCGGAACTTACGCTCTGCTAAGCTTTATAAAAAGGTGTTTTCCAAATTTGACCACGTAGTGCAGAAGCCAGATATTCAAGTTTGCGAAAGATTACTAACACTCTTACAGAAAGTTTATGTATAACATAAGGGGTTGTTCTTTCATTTATGCTAGATAACACACAAAACTTAGTTTGCTAAGGTAGAAGTTTGGTTGCGATTGATGACGTCATAGATTTAGTTTTATCCTTTTTTATTCAGAACTTTCAAAGAGTAAGTCGACCACGAAAACCATTTCATAAGGGGAATTCACCTCATCTATCAATTATTCTTGGGATCGTTTTGTTTGCTCCAAGATGTCAAACCTTCCGAATCGAAACTACCTATCAACTGAATTTGAAGAAAATAAAGGTAATTTGCAAAAGTTATGTGTTCTAATGCAGCAATGAAAGAAGTATCTTCTATAAGCTTGTAAAGTACTGAAGCTCTTGAGCACCTTGATTATCAAGAAATTCTTAGGAATACAACCAGCATCTTCCCGAATGGGTTTAGTTTTCACAATTCTGAGCTGTACTCCTACGGCATAAGCGAAAAGATTGTAGTAAAGGATTCGTTCAGTATTTGTCGTATAATTTGGTCAAGTCATTCATCGGTGACGAAAAGTCCTTTATAATCCTAGTATATCTCCATTTCCATAATAGTGTCTTGGCACCTTTAGTAACATTAGGTGTTCTCATAAGTTTTGGCACCAGAGCACTAATCACCAAATTTGTCAACTAGAAGTAATTAAGTTTTCTTAATAACACTATTCAGAGTAAGCGCCCCAGCCTGAACACGTCTCTGCCATCTCTTAGGCCACAGATCAATACCGCTTCGTGCAGGATTTTCTGAGCTTTCTTTTAGTACCAATTTTGTCCATACTTTTCTCATCATGTCCTCATGTCATCAGGCGAAACAGAAAAGAAAGGAAATGCCTTTCGCTTTGGCGACTTGGTACAGATCCTCAGGCCTTAGCATACTTTTGAAGGTGGTCTGAGCATTGCGTAGCAATTCGTACTGAAAAAGCAGCAAATTGCGATAAAGGCTTTGTTGAGCGGCCATGATGCGGCAAGTATGGACAATTTGTACCGAATGAAAGCTTGGAAAATTCTGCACATAGCTGTATTGATCTGTTGCTTGAGAGATGACGGAAATGTGTTCGGGATGTTCGCGTATACTTTGAACAGTGTTGTTTATCTATTTTGATCACTTCTGGTTTTTAGATCTGATATTTATTGCCCTAGTGCCAAAACTTATGAGAAGACCTAATAACTTGAAGATGGTGCGTTATAAACTCTAAACTTGAGCGGAGCCAACTGTCACAGATTGTCATACTTTGACATTATGCCTGCGTCGTAAACAGGAACCTGTTGAAAATTTTATCTGACCAACTATTGCTAATTTATAGACGTTTTTTGATAGTCCCAACTATGGAATCAAGGAAGAGTAGTGGTCTTTTGACGCGAGTGTTCCTTACCTTTCAAAATTGTTTTCAAGATTTATCAATTGGAACAATAGAAAGAAGAAAAGGACTCGGGATTTCTTGTAATAAATCGAAAGACTGACTTCCATGGAACCTCGGCTATCTTACGAAGTGCTTTTTTCCTGAGAACTTTCGCGAGATTGGTATATCTTACACAAAGTGATGATTGACTCGGTCAGTTCGCGTTCCTAACAGTCCAGTGCTGTACCACACCATCTGTGATTATTCTACTGATTTTTTTTTAGCTAATCGAAATCTAGTGCAATAATAAATCAAATGTGTGGTTAGTATACTTGCCATTCTTTACTTATACTTTAACAAACGGGTAAATTGCTTGCTCTCTAAGATTGCGCACAGCTTTTTTGCTCGTGTCGAGATCTACAATAATTACCTACATTCTTCTAGATTAGATTTGAGAAGATCTCTTACTTACTTGCGTTAATAACAGCCTTTGTATCTCCATCTCGACAACCCTCAAGCGGTTGAGCCCATCAATCACATGCTCCAGATCCAGAGGATTATTGCACTCTTCTAAATTTTTCAGCAGCGAAGCTTCGGCTATGTAGACCTAAACGTTCAATATTCAATGCACGACCATAATTCTTTCGTTCGCCGTTTATGGAGACACTCGGTTGCGTATGTATTCACCACGGCCAACATCAAACTTGGAGGATAACGTCTGCCCTGACTGTAAACAGTTCATA